TGATTTTCAAACTGCATGTATTCTCAGGTCAACATTAGACAGGTACCTAGCGAATCTTCTGGAGAAGACGGAGCGTACAGAAGACTCGTCTCTACTTTTATTCATATATACTATGTATTACAAATGTACAACTTTACTATTGAACAAATGTAAACTTTGATATGTAATGTAATAGTTGTTTACTTTGCTTACTATGTACATCGGATTTGATACTCAACTTGGAGTCAACCCCAGGAAGGTTTCCGCCTTTGGTTTTCGGGGTGTGACAATACATAACATAAACATACATACAAACGTATGCCTAGTTAGAAACCATTACTATATACAGAACAAACAAAAAGCTATCAAAATTAAAATTTAGTTTTTATAATGATGCATACGTTTGTTTGTAAGTTTATGTTATGTATAAATTGGTGAAAACAAAGGAATCAAAGTATAAATAAGTTGTGAAAAAAAAACGAAAAAAAAACAAAGTATGAATTTAGGTAGCTTTTTGTTTGTTCAGTATATAGTAATGGTTTCTAACTAGGCATACGTTTGTATGTATGTTTATGTTATGTATAGATCGGTCAAAACAAATAAATAAAAGTATAATTAAGTTGTGACAAAAAAACGAAAAAAAAACGACACTTGATACTTGAAAAATAGAAAAATAGAAAATTACCGTAGGTAATCTGTAGGTAAATACCTACGGATTACCTACAGATCACCTTATTCTGTAGGCAATCCGGAGGTATTTACATACAGATTACCTACGGTCATTTTTTATTTTTATGTTATTCAAGTAACAAATGTCATTTCTTTCGTTTTATTTTTTTCACAACTTAATTATACTTTGATTGCTTTGTTTTGACCGATTTATACATAACATAAACATACATACAAACGTATGCCTAGTTAGAAACCATTACTATATACAGAACAAACAAATAGCTATATATATTCATACTTTGTTTTTCTAATGATGCATACGTTTGTTTGTAAGCTATTTTTCATGTATCAAATGTCATTTTTTTCGTTTTATTTTTTTCACAAATTAATTATACTTTGATTGCTTTGTTTTGACCGATTTATACATAACATAAACATACATACAAACGTATACCTAGTTGGAAACCATTACTATATACAAAACAAACAAATAGCTATCTATATTCATACTTTGTTTTTCTAATGATGCATACGTTTCTTTGTAAGTTTATGTTATGAATAAATTGTTTAAAACAAAGAAATCAAAGTATAAATAAGTTGTGAAAAAAACGAAATGAAAAAAACGATATTTGACTTTTGAAAATTGAAAAATGAAAAAATACCGTAGGTAATCTGTAGGTAAATACCTACGGATTACCTACAGATCACCTTATTCTGTAGGCAATCCGTAGGTATTTACCTACGGATTACCTACGGTCATTTTTTATTTTTCTGTTATTCAAGTAACAAATGTCATTTTTTTCGTTTTATTTTTTTCACAACTTAATTATACTTTGATTGCTTTGTTTTGACCGATTTATACATAAGATAAACATACATACAAACGTATGCCTAGTTAGAAACCATTACTATATACAGAACAAACAAAAAGCTATCTAAATTCAAGTTTGGTTTTTTTAATGGTGCATATGTTTGTTTGTAAGTTTATTTGATGTATAAATTGGTTAAAACAAAGCAATCAAAGTATAAATAAGTTGTGAAAAAAAAACGAAACGAAAAAAACGATATTTGACTTTTGAAAATTGAAAAATGAAAAAATACTGTAGGTAATCTGTAGGTAAACACCTACGGATTACCTACAGATTACCTTATTCTGTAGGCAATCCGTAGGTATTTACCAACACATTACTTACGGTCATTTTTTATTTTTCGATTTTTCATGTATCAAATGTCGTTTTTTTCGTTTTATTTTTTTCACAACTTAATTATACTTTGATTGCTTTGTTTTGACCGATTTATACATAACATAAACATACATACAAATGTATGCCTAGTTAAAAACCATTACTATATACAGAACAAACAAAAAGCTATCTAAATTAAAATTTAGCTTTTATTATGATGCATACGTTTGTTTGTAAGTTTATGTTATGTATAAATTGGTGAAAACAAAGCAATCAAAGTATAAATAAGTTGTGAAAAAAAAATGAAATGAAAAAAACGATATTAGAACTTTGAAATTTGAAAAATAAAAAAATACCGTAGGTAATCGGTAGGTAAATACCTACAGATCACCTTATTCTGTAGGCAATCCGTACGTATTTACCTACAGATTACCTACGATCATTTTTTATTTTTCTGTTATTCAAGTAACAAATGTCATTTTTTACGTTTTATTTTTTTCACAACTTAATTATACTTTTATTTATTTCTTTTGACCGATTTATACATAAGATAAACGTAAATACAAACGTATGCCTAGTTAGAAACCATTACTATATACAGAACACACAAAAAGCTATCTAAATTCAAGTTTGGTTTTTCTAATAATGCATACGTTTGTTTGTAAGTTTATTTGATGTATAAATTGGTTAAAACAAAGCAATCAAAATATAAATAAGTTGTGAAAAAAAAAACGAACCGAAAAAAACAATCTTTGACCTTTGAAAATTGAAAAATAAAAAAATACCATAGGTAATCTGTAGGTAAATACCTACGGATTACCTACAGATTACCTTATTCTGTAGGCAATCCGTAGGTATTTACCAACAAATTACTTATGGTCATTTTTTATTTTTCTATGTTTCATGTACCAAACGTATGCCTACTTAGAAACGATTACTTTATATACAGAACAAACAAATAGCTATCTAAATTCAGATTTTGTTTTTCTAATGATGCATATGTTTGTTTGTAAGTTTATGTTATGTATAAATTGGTTAAAACAAAGCAATCAAAGTATAAATAAGTTGTGAAAATTTGACCTTTGAAAATTGAAAAATAAAAAAATATCGTAGGTAATTTGTAGGTAAATACCTACGGATTACCTACAAATCACCTTATTCTGTAGGCAATCCGTAGGTATTTACCTTCAGATTACCTACGGCCATTTTTTATTTTTCTGTTATTCAAGTATCAAATGTCGTTTTTTTCGTTTTGTTTTTTTCACAACTTTATTATACTTTGATTGCTTTGTTTTGACCGACTTATACATAACATAAACATACATACAAACATATGCCTAGTTAGAAACCATTACTATATACAAAACAAACAAAAAGCTATCTAAATTAAAATTTAGTTCTTATAATGATGCATACGTTTGTTTGTAAGTTTATGTTATGTATAAATTGGTGAAAACAAAGCAATCAAAGTATAAATAAGTTGTGAAAAAAAACGAAACGAAAAAAACGATATTTGACCTTTGAAAATTGAAAAATAAAAAAATACCGTAGGTAATCTGTAGGTAAATACCTACGGATTACCTACAGATCACTCTATTCTTTAGGCAATCCGTAGGTATTTACCTACAGATTACCTACGATCATTTTCTATTTTTCTATTTTTCAAGTATCAAATGTCGTTTTTTTGGTTTTATTTTTTTCACAACTTAATTATACTTTTATTTGTTTGTTGTGACCGATTTATACATAACATAAACATACATACAAAAGTATGCCTAGTTAGAAACCATTACTATATACAGAACAAACAAAAAGCTATCTAAATTCAAATTTGGTCTTTCTAATGATGCAAACGTTTGTTTGTAAGTTTATTTGATGTATAAATTGGTTAAAACAAAGTAATCAAAGTATAAATAAATTGTGAAAAAAAAAAAAACGAAACAAAAAAAAAACGATATTTGTCCTTTGAAAATTGAAAAATAAAAAAATACCGTAGGTAATCTGTAGGTAAATACCTACGGATTACCTACAGATTACCTTATTCTGTAGGCAATCCGTAGGTATATACCTACAGATTACCTACGGTCGTTTTTTATTTTTCTATTTTTCATGTATCAAATGTCATTTTTTTCATTTTATTTTTTTCACAACTTAAGTATACTTTGATTGCTTTGTTTTGACCGATTTATACATAACATAAACATACATACAAACGTATGTCTAGTTAGAAACCATTACTATATACAGAACAAACAAAAAGCTATCTAAATTCAAATTTGGTTTTTCTAATGATGCATACGTTTGTTTGTAAGTTTATGTTATGTATAAATTGGTTATAACAAAGCAATCAAAGTATAAATAAGTTGTGAAAAAAACAAAACGAAAAAAATGATATTTGACATTTGAAAATTGAAAAATAAAAATATATCGTAGATAATCTGTAGATAAATACTTACGGATTACCTACAGATCACCTTATTCTGTAGGCAATCCATAGGTATTTACCCGTAGGTATTTATGTACAGATTACCTACGGTCTTTTTTTTATTTTTATATTTTTCAAGTATCAAATGTTGTTTTATTCGTTTTGTTTTTTTTTTTTTTTTTCACAACTTAATTATATTTTGATTGCTTTTTTTTGACTGATTTGTGGATAACATAAATTTAGATACAAACTTATGAACCATTAAATTGTGAAAAAAATAAAGAAAGTCATAAACATATAAGTAAGATGCTATAAGTAACATAAATCTGAAAAAATAAAAATAAATAAACAACAAATATATAAAATACAAATAAGTTTCATTTTCCAATTTACCATTATGTAACAAATATATATATATATATATATATATATATATATATATATATATATATATATATATATATATATATATATATATATATATATATATATATATATATATATATATATATATATATTCAAAGCATGACAAAGTATAGAATGTGAACTCAAAATTTATACGTGGAGTTAGAATTAAAAACAAAAAGGCATTTAACCACCGTCGCATAACTCTTTGGAATTAAACCATTTGGAATTAAAAGGCATTTAGCCATTTGGAATTTAAAAAAAAAAAAAGCATTTAACCCATTTTTCAATTCCCTTCCTTATCAGGTCGCATAACTCTTTTCTACCACCAAAACCTAGTCTCGTTCTTTCGGACGATTCCCCACCAAAACCAACCCCTGTTCCGGCGATTCCCCATCAAAACCCACATTGCTGTTGATGTCGCTGTCCCGCACCACCATCGACCTCCTCATACCGCCTGATCCGGCTGTCATTATCGCAAACCACCACAAGCCTGCAGCATACCGCCACCGTCAATACCCCAATACCTCCATTAACGACACCTGAAGGTATGTAATGTGATTTCAGTTTGCTGAAACTTGTACAAAACTTCAATTGTTCAGCGTATTATTAATTTGCTTTAACGAATGAATTACTGACTAGCCATAGATTATTTAGAGACTTACGTGCTTTTCACTAGCCATAGATTATTTAGATTATTTACATCAATATGCAGTTATAGGCAAACAAACACACACCCAAATTAGATTATTTAGAGGCTTATGTGTCTTTCACTAGCCATAGAAGTATATTAACACACAAAATTTTATAGACAAAAAAGCACAGATTTGCGCCTGTCCCATACATTGGTGGGTCTGTAAACCACAACTCAAAAAAAGACAGAATTGCCCCCGCCAAACTCTCACCTTGTGATGAGAATTGTTATCGAGATTTAAGAAAACAAAGTATGATTTTAGTAATCTAAGAATTAGAACACGAAGAGTAAATATTAATGAGATCTTATATTGATGAAGACTGATTACAGAATAAGCAGAAAGGATATTTGCGTTAACAACCAGTCCTTTCTACTTCTAACCTCAGTCCCTATTTATATGGAACATGAGTGTACAAAAAATATACTAAGTCTAAACATTACACTTCGCACAAATATGACTTGGTAAAATAACATAAAATGCGAAACAATACAAAACACAATATTCGACTTTTACAATTTTGCTTCTACAATCTCCCCCTTTGTAAACAGTCCAAGCTATTCAATTTATAAGCTTTTGAACAGCTGAGTGAATTGTCTTTCGCACTTCTCCATACCAGGAGATCACCTTCTTGAGATCCTTCTTGTCTCCTTCATTGTTCTTCTTGCAATTGTTCATACGAACAATAAAGTGCGTATATTGCGAAGAATTATATCTTTCTATCTCTGAGACTTTAAACAAAAATTTCTTAGGTTTTCCCTTTGTATCTCTTCCTGAAAACACCATACCAAAAGGTTTCAAGCATATTTCATCAACAGCATAATTCGACAATGCTGATTGGGATACAGTCTCTTCCCAAGGACCTTTCACTTCTCTTCCCAACACATTTGCCAATTCATCATCTGTAAGAGCCAAACAATCGAAGTAATTATCGATGTATGTCTTAACATGTGCGAAGCCTATCTTGAATAGTTCAGTCTCAGAGCCTTTGAGCTTATTCTCTTCCATATGCTTCAAAATCAGAGCCACTTGAATCAAATCGTTGCAGTTTATCAGAGGAAAATCTGCTACAGTGAAGTCATACTGCTTGTTGTCTGCTCGAATAACAAAATAACGAAAATTTTGAAGCATGTCTTCAAACAATATATCTTTCTTGATTGTTAGCACCTTTTTGATCTTCAATAAAGACCAAATTTCATCTGGATTCTTCCCCAAAACAGCATGAAATCTAATTTTCATTTGTGTAAACTCATCAGGATTATCAAACTTCTCACTAATCTTGTACTGAGCATTTCATTGATTGGAAAATCTAGCTAGCAATTGTTTGAATTCGCAATATCATAACTTTTCTTTGGCTTCTTCTTGAATTCATACATTTCCCTCCCCACAACTTTTGACTGTATAGTTTCGTAAGAGTAAAGCTTCAATGGATCTCCTTTGTTCCTCGTGGAGGATCACTTGCCCTTTGTCTCATGATGCTTTGTATCTGCCTCATTCTTTACATCTCTACTTCAGCCTCAGCTTTCTTCTCCTCCTTTGATTTTTTGTATAATATCCCTTTTCCTTTTCCCTCCATATCTGTTTGAGGTTTTGAACTTGAACCTCCTGCTTTTTCTCCAATAACAATTCCTTTGGCATTAGGTCTTGTGGTTATTGTAGTTGAGGAAGTTTGCTTCGTAAGCATGGGAAGAGTAGTTTTAAGCTGGGTAGATATAACTTTTCCCACTATCTTTGCATCCTCCTCTTTACTTAAACTTTTCTCTCCCCCTTGCACCCCTGTGAAAGCAGGTGGGGCACCCCTTGGAAGTAAAGAGGTAAAATTGGCAAGTGGAGCAAGAGCTTTCTGAATTGCTTGTTCTAAAGTATTAATCTTTAGAGACAAGAACTCAGGAGTAAGAATTTGTGTAGATGACTCTACTAGAAAAAAGGCCTTTTACGACGCTCATTGCGCGTCGTAAAACGCTCAGACGACGCGCAAATGCGCGTCAAGGAAGGCCCTGTCATAAAGAGAGACGACGCGCATTTACGACACGCAATGCGTATCAAGGAAGGCCCTGTCATAAAGGAAGACGACACGCATTCGAATGTCGTAACCTTACGACGCGCGTGTTAATGACACGCAATGCGTATCAAGAAAGCCCCTGTCAAGAAAGGCCATGTCATAAATGAAGATGACACACATTTTTGCGTATCATAATTTTAAATGTTTAAAAAAAATATTTTTAATAGATTTACTAATTTTCAAATTAAATTTGAATTTAATGACTCATAATAGAAAATAAAATATCATATACAAAAAATATAATCCATTTCATAAAATTTAATGTCGTATACAAATAATCATTCCAATAGTAAGTAAATGTAACACATTGCTAATATTGCATAATATTTATTATTGAAAACAAAACATGTACAACATGAAAAGAAACCCTTGAATAAATTCTCCTTTGACAATCACCTTTGACAATTTTCTTTCTAAAAGAATAACCTGCATGCAAGAACTTTGAGAGGCTGCAAGGCACTAATATGTCAAATTTGTTTGTCTGCATGTTTTCAGCCAACTATAGGAAATTTTAGGAGTATGTATACATGTCATTTACATATATATATATATATATATATATATATATATATATATATTGACATAACATAAAGCATACATTGACATAACATAACTAATTCCAAACAATTCAAACATGACAAAGGGAAAACAAAGGTGGCATACCTGATGCATTCACCCAAATCTTACAAGAAACCCTACATTTGCTTCAATTTGCCAATTTCACGTTTCAGGTATCGATTTAAAGAATTGGTGGGATCGCAAGCATGACGTACCGGAGGGCGTTTCTGTCGGCGATCGATACGCAATCGTACCCCGTTTGGGATCGAGCCGTTTGGAACGTGGATCGTGACTACTTTGGCGAATCCTGTGACTATGGTCCCCAACTCCTCCACGACTCCATGGAACATTTACACAATACCCTTCTCCACCCATGGACCCCACCTGATAACATATATAAGAGTGAAATGACCATTTTACCCTTCTCGATGTAAAAAATGAGAGAGAGAAAAAAAATTAGGGTTATGTTTACCTCATGGGCAGCGCCTGTACCAGGGTAGAATTTTCCACCTTCATGTGTATGTAAGGATATATACAACACCTATAACAATTAAAACCAGTATCATCAGAAATAGTCAGATAGTAATCTACAATGTTATTTATGATATAAAATAAATTAATCAACTATATTGTTTTATATTTATGTTGAGTTTCATTTTTTTTTTATAGGAGAATGAATGATAGTTAATTTTACATGGCCTCCTGCAATTTATTACCAGGAAACACTTATAGTGTTTATGTTTTTTTTTAAATATCACAAACTCTTTGTGGTTAACCAAGAAAAAAATTATTTCTGTGGTTAAACCAAAAAAAATACAGAATATGGAGTTAACCATATAATAATAATATCATTAACAAGTTGAAGAAAGTAGTATCAATTATTGCACGAATAAAAAAAATAAAAATAAAATTACTGTTTTGTTCTGCTCAAATATTTCTTGAGTTCCATTTCCATGTTACATCTTGTAAATAAATAAGGTTAGATAACTACAACTCATAGTTTTTTTTTTTAATTACAAAGATTATTACCCAATCAACAATCAAGACTTTTTTTGCTCCTGCAGCTTGTGCTGCTGATGCAGCAATGGCTGCATTGTTATGCAGACAAAATCCTATTGCTTGTCTCACTCCAGCATGATGACCTGGAGGACGCACCTGACCCATGACCCATGACCCACGACCCATGATCCATCAAACATAAAGATTAATGGAACAAATAGAGAGGTGAAGAATTATAGGTAGAAACTTCTTTTTACCAGTGCAAACCCGTTTTTAGCACGCCCCGAGTATATAGATGATGCCAGGTCAACACATAACCCTGCTGCCAGCCTGGCTTTGCATATGTATCAGGGGTGAAATAACTGTTGGAAAAACAATTTTTGCTAATAAATACAAGGGTTAATCTCAAAACAGACTTTATATTTTGTGTTTTTCCAGATTAAACCTCAAATTTATTTTTTTACATTGTATTTGCCAAAAAAATTGTAAAATGTGAGTGAGGGTTTTTTTTTTGGAGAAAAACTAAAAAGGTTGAGGGTTTATTTGGAAGTATTTAGGAGGTTGAGGGTTTTTTCGGAAAAAATGAAAAAACACAAGGTCTTTTTCAGGCAAAAAATAAATTTGTGGTTTAATCCGGAAAAAACATAAAATATAAGGTCTTTTTTGAGATAAACCTTAAATATAATGGAGAAATACTAAAATGTTAAGAGGTTATATAAGTAATTGATATTTAATGTACCTAGCAACATGTTGGCTTGTGAGTTCAACAGATTCAATATTCTCATGAGAGTGGATCTGAAAACAATAGAATGGAATGGAATCAGTCATTACATTCCAGAATCATGTTTGGTTGGTGTGTAAGAATGTAATCAATTTTTTATTATATTAAGATACATTGTATAGTGTTAAGTTTTAACTCTACTTTATATGTTATTCACTTCTAATTTATAAAATTTTAATTTGCAAAACTAAAAGATTAAACATAAAAGCTCATTAGAATCCAAATAACTGTTCTCTAATATTACAAATTTTATAAATAAAAATGGGTTATATTGCAAATTTTCATTCCATTCCTTCAAAATGAGAATTTACAAAAGAGAAGGAATCACATTCCTTCAAGAATGGTGCATTCCATTCCATTCCATCAAACAAAACAAACAGCTTTTTTCATTCCAATGGAATGAGCCATTCCATTCCATTCCCTTCCCTCCCTGATTCCCTAATACCAAACACTACCTTAAAGTTTAGGTATATCACAATCAGCTTATTTTATAGCCAATACCAATGAAAGTGGAAAGTCAAGATTGCAAGTTGACTTTAAACTAATGAATGAAATGTTTACCATCTGAAGTTCTTCACGTGTAATTTCTCTTGCTGAAATCGGTTGGCATCTTCCAGGAAATATACCTAAAATTTACAGAAATGACAATTTAGAGAATAAAAATTTTTTTTTTAAAAAAAAGACAAGGAATCCTAGTCACACACCTGCAGTTGCCAGGCTGGCAACAATTGCTCGAAGACGATCTGGTCTTTCTGGATGAGGAAGAGACTTCCTTTCAACCTACAAATTATAAAGATCAAAAAATGATGACATCAAAGTTTTTTATTTATAAAACCATCAAGACTATTAAAAATAATTTTTTTTAAAAATGAAAATTGAAATATCGGGAAGAATTCTTACTTCAGAATGAAGCAACATCCTGTCATCAAACCCCACTGCTGTCGATTTATGTGGGGCCAAAGTTTTTGAGCAAGAAGCTAACATTGATTGAAAAAAAAAAGATCAAGGAAATGAAAACAATTTAAATGAAAAAATCAATCTTTAAAAACTTATGTGGGGCCAAAGTTGTTTTCTCTTTAGACCTGATTTCCCATTTTGCTTCAATGATGAATTCTGAATAGAATCTGCCTCTTCTGAAGATGATGCAAGAAAGCCATGCCTAAGGATTCCAGAATCTTTATGCTCTCCACACATCTGGTGAAGATACTTGGCACAGAACTTAGAGACTGCTTGACCTGAAAGATAAAAAAAAGCTTAGTGAGGACTGTTGGAACAGGTCCCAACCTTCTCACTCACACAACACAGATATCTTTACTACTTATAAAAGAAATCTAACTATTTCTATAAATAGATTGAATATAATAATATTATTTTTTTAAGACGTACAAACGATTAAGCTAATATTACAAACAACCATTAATAAAATAATATTAAATTTGAAATCGTCTAAATTTTTAAACTTAGTGTACAATCACCTATGCATGAATTTTGACTAAGCTATTTAATCCCCAAGTTAAAATCCTTATTTATCTCAAGGAAGCCGATCTGGCCTTCTTTCAGCCAGTTTAATCGGTCAACAACCATAACCGGCTTTTCAATCTCTTTATACATTATCTCCTTCATTCAATGGAAAAACCCTAGCTGTTGGAATTCACCAGCCACACAACCGCACAACTCCGTCACCTCTATAATCTCCACCCACAGTCACGCATGCTTCACCTTCTCTGCCACCTACCTACTTCTCTAAAATTAACGTTAACCACGCACAGTCTGACCACCAATGTAGGCACTCTGCCTCTTTCCGTCTATCACCGCCACCCAATAATTTTTCGCCTCTACCCTCCTTCGCCTACGTTTCTCTGTTCACCAATATCTACTGTTACCCATCCCCAACGCACCTCTACCACTTCTACACCTTATTAAGACCTATCTCTAAAACCCTACACATATCAACACATTCGTCTTCACTACTTCATTACTACCATCACCTCATTCATATCTCCATCACTCGTTGGAAACCTAAGGATATATGCATCGCCGCTTCAACCTTGAAACCGATGTGGACTACTCAAAGATTCGGCAGATCATTCGAAGCCATGTAGGTTTTCTTTAATAGTTTCTGATTTTAGTTTTCATTTAGAACTGATTCTTAATTAAACCCAAAAAATTGCAGATGGGTTAATCTGAATCTGTGTTTGAAGGTAAGATATTGTTTGTTTTTTCTTGGGGATTGGGTTTGGGGTTTTTACTCCATCATTTGAATATCGGATATTGGTGTGGGATTTGCAGGTCAGATGTTAGTTTTGTAGATTTTGATCTCATTGTAGCTGATCATGAAATGTTGGTTTCAAGTTCTCTCATTTAAGTCCTTCCGGTAGATGAAATTGCATTAGAACTAGAAAATTAACACAAATGTCAGATAGTTGTTACTCTCTTTATGACTATATCATCGTTTTTTTATATTGTATTCTTTGCAATTGATAATAGAGGTTCTTATTATATTTGAAAATTTCATAGTTAGTTTGATGTTCTTAAAGAAATAAGCAACTAGAGAGCTTGTTAATTTGTTTAGTTCAAGGTATTACTTTCTTTCCTTATCGTTTCTCAATTTGGTTGTGTGTGTTTGTATGAGTCTATGTTTATCTTGCAAATCACCAAGAGTCAATTAGTTTTTTTTCTTTAAAGTTGCAATATGTAAGTTTTTGTTATTGTTTGGGGTAAACCCATTTGTAAGTTTTGTTTTTGAAAATTGCAATGCATAAGTTTTTGGTTTCATTTATTGTCAGACAACAAAAAAATTTAACTGACAAAATTTTGTGAATTTGGATTGATTTGTTTCAAATTTTATCATATACATATTTGACTATTGTATCATTCTTATATTTGAAGGTACCATATGAATAATAGTTTCTTCTTCGTTTTGTATGTATCATGTACAAGAACATGGGAGTGTTTTGTTCTTAATATTTTCTATGTAAATGAAAAAAATAAGCTTTATTTATGCATTATACCATTTGTGAATGAAAGTTTTTTTTTTTTTTTGTTAATTCTCATGTGTCTTTCTTTGACATTCGTAATTGGTTTGGTGGGTTCACGTTATGTGGTTATATTTTGGTTTTCGATTTTGTTTTCGGGTTAAGTATTTTGTTAATTAATTTATTAGGAAACTATGATTTCATTTAAGATTAAAAACTTTCTTCCGTCTTTGAGTTCATTCGCATTTATACATTAAAAACTTCGCATTTTCATTCAAATTCTTCGCATCTTGCATCCATCCGTCTTTGAGTTCATTCGCATTTCATCGCATTAACTGAGAAATTAATCAGTTGTCTCATATTCGCATTTCAGTTGTTTGAGAAACCCAGATACGAACCCAAATGCGAAACCCACTGATTTCAAATGCGAACCAACCAAAAATCATCAACCACGTACTTGTGTCACCAAATGCGAACTGAATATCACCATTAAATTCTCCTCGCATTCCATAGATGCGAACACAATCCAGATCTCCGACTCCAAGCTTGCGAAATCAAAATCAATTAACCTCAAACAAATCGTGAACTTCTTATGCGAACTGTTTTGACCCACATAACCAAATGCGAACTCAATTGATGTCATATGCGAACTGATTTCATAGATGCGAACACAATTGATTTCATATGCGAATCCACATCCATCGATATGAAACCAATACCAGTTACAAGCAATTAGTAGCAACAACCATCGATCCTCTAATTTTCAATTACTCAGCCTTCGCTTTTCATACAACCCGTCGACCCTGAAAAATCGATAAACACCAAATGTCTCATTTTTAGATCGATTTTCTGATTAAATGTCATATTTGAAGAATGATCGATTTTCTGATTAAATGACCCCATTTTGCGAAGTTGGACCACTTATATTATTTCTTGAAAAGATCAGGTGCCAAATGCGAAACTCTAAGCTTTCTTCCCCAATTCGCATTTATACATTAAAAACTTCGCATTTTCATTCAAATTCTTCGCATCTTGCATCCATCCGTCTTTGAGTTCATTCGCATTTCATCGCATTAACTGAGAAATTAATCAATTGTCTCATATTCGCATTTCAGTTGTTTGAGAAACCCAGATACGAAGCCAAATGCGAAACCCACTAATTTCAAATGCGAACCAACCAAAAATCATCAACCACGTACTTGTGTCACCAAATGCGAACTGAATATCACCATTAAATTCTCCTCGCATTCTATAGATGCGAACACAATCCAGATCTCCGACTCCAAGCTTGCGAAATCAAAATCAATTAACCTCAAACAAATCGTGAACTTCTTATGCGAACTGTTTTGACCCACAAAACCAAATGCGAACTCAATTGATGTCATATGCGAACTGATTTCATAGATGCGAACACAATTGATTTCATATGCGAATCCACATCCATCGATATGAAACCAATACCAGTTACAAGCAATTAGTAGCAACCATCGATCCTCTAATTTTCAATTACTCAGCCTTCGCTTTTCATACAACCCGTCGACCCTGAAAAATCGATAAACACCAAATGTCTCATTTTTAGATCGATTTTCTGATTAAATGTCATATTTGAAGAATGATCGATTTTCTGATTAAATGTCATATGTGTGACATTTAATCAGATTACAAAACATGTTTGTTATTGATGGATGAGATAGATTTAATGTATATCATCAGTTTTTTTTTTAAATGACAATTTAAAAAATCCTAATCAGTTTGGATAGAATTTGAAGTGCTTATCTGATAAGCACTATGATAATTTCGAAGTTAGTGTTATCTTTTTCTAATTAATAATGATATAAACTGTAAAGATAATTTCGAAATTAATATGTTGACTAACATTGATCCTTAAAATTTGGGATATGAATGGTTTTGAGCGGGAAAATATTGACACCTGGGTAACCCTCTACAATAAATACCTATGGATTGTGTGACATTGGTTGCCTTTTAAAAGACATAAAAACAAGGCATGCATTTATACCCCAGAAAATAATAATGTAATAGCAAAGGAAAAACAACACCATAAAAACATGTTACTTATTTGAAACAATCCAAAAAAAGACAACCATAAAAATTCCAACATCAAATAAATCTACTAAAAAAACTTAGGTGTTAACAACTGCATCTTCATCATCCTGAGATGGCTGGTTTTCAGCTGCAACAGTAATCAAACCACTCCTGACAAAAAAATAAAATTTAAGGCATTCATAAGTTTCTTGATCCTTGAAATATATAAAAAAAAACAGTTTTTCATGATCGTTTGTAAAACAAAGTACAAATGATCTTACCCGACATCAACAGGAAATTCACCATCTTCTTCATCACGAAGCCTATAACATCTGTTTCGGCTTTGAACTTTGACACGGGGTCTCTTCAGTGGTGGTGACAAAGTTTTTGGTTTTGTTGAATCTAATGTGTCAGACTTTTCCACAGCTTCATCATCCAGCTTTTCATCTTCAGAACTTAGAATATCAATAACCTCATCCCAATTCCAATTTAGCAATGCCCATTCCCTTTTCTTTTCTTTCTCATGTTTCTCATGCATACCAGTTGAAGGATGATTTGATCACATTCCTGCTTATTTACAATGCTACTTGAGTTCGACATTATGGCCGTTTTTCTATGTCAAAAGTAGTATTAGTTACAACGTAACAATTAAATCAAAAGAGAAAACAAAAAATATGTGAACATACCTTCTTCCCAGGTGGAAGAATCAAGTCATTATCGAATTTCAGAGAAGCAAACATAGGTATTTATTGTAGAGGGTTACCCAGGTGTCAATATTTTCCCGCTCAAAACCATTCATATCCCAAATTTTAAGGATCAATGTTAGTCAACATATTAATTTCGAAATTATCTTTACAGTTTATATCATTATTAATTAGAAAAAGATAACACTAACTTCGAATTATCATAGTGCTTATCAGATAAGCACTTCAAATTCTATCCAAACTGATTAGGATTTTTTAAATTGTCATTTAAAAAAAACTGATGATATACATTAAATCTATCTCATCCATTAATAACAAACATGTTTTGTAATCTGTACATATATACGTATTTAAGATTACGAATCTTGCTTCCATACTTTACCATCAAACCATTTGTTCCATTGATTTCATAAAACCATCTGTTCTATATGCTATATCAGAATCAAACAGGTATTGAACTTTTACTTTATTT